CGGCCACACAAAGGAGATGCCGCCGGGAAATTCGAGGCATTATCAAGTGCTTGTCAAATTGGGAATGAGAGACTGATGAAGTGTGTGCAGCCTGAGCAAAAGAAGCCTTTCATGAGACTTTTTTCAAATCATCATTAGAGTCACATCATGCAGCCTTAGAATGTATTAAAAATCTAAACATATAGCCCAACGTTTGTATTTAAACGAAAGTTGTAGAAATAACTCTAAATTAAGCATAAAAGGAGGATCTGTTTCTTTGTTAACCGCTCAACACAGAATAGCAACAGGTGTGCACTCCCTCAAATCGTTTGGAGAAAATATCCTTTCTATTTTATTCAGCTATGTTCAATTGTATTCTTCATACTATAAAGTAATGCCACGGAATTCTAAGCAAATCTTGTCTGCTAAATTAAGTAGTGTAGCCCACAGCCATATGGCATAGATAGATCAGGACCTAACATAAGGACAACTCAGAGTATGCTATTCTGTTCTTCTGAAATAGACTACATTGTCTTCATATCATGTTTCTTTAGACCTGTCTAAAATAAATAATGGATTTATTGTGATGGTGTAGGGTATATTACATGGCTTTTTATTTGACTTTTTTTTAAATGTAGATGTTCCAAAGGTCTGCATCAGTGGCTTGTAGGCTATGCATGGAAGCCAGGAGATGCTAAATGTGTTTACGTTAACTAACGGTCAATTACCGTGAGACCGGCAGTTATTTGCTTGACAATCACCGGCTGACTAAATTTCGGGACCGCCATAGCCCTAGTTGGCACACCCTTGGCCAAAGGCGCTGCTCTACGCTTTCCCCCCTATAAGCCTCACACTCCCCACTCTAGTCATAGTGAGACAACGAGGCTTGTCCCTCATCCTGGTAGCCCCCAGATGGCCGGGCAAGCTCTGGTTAACGGAGATCATTCTCTTGCTTTATGACGAGCCCTGGCAACTCCCATTATGCACGGATCTCCTGGCCCAGGCGAACTGGGAAATTCATCACCCTCACCATGGCCCTATGGACGCGACTAGTCTGCCTCAGAGTCATTGAGACAATCCAGAGACCCTTCTACATGCTCAATTTACGGAAATAAATGCTGCATCTTTGAGAAGTGGTGTGACCAAAAACAGATCATTCCTTACCAATGTTTTGTGTCAGAGGTTTTATGCTTCCTGCAAGGCCTTCTGGACAGCGGGAAGGCTTTCTCCACTGTTAAGTTCTACTTAACTGCTTTCCCCGGCCTGTCATATAGGCCTTAATAACAGCACGGTGGGCAAGCACCCGCTGTAATGCCATTTTAAGAAGGGGGCGCCCCGCTTACGTCCAATATCCAAGCCTGTAGCCCCGTCTTGGGATCTTTCTACTCTGCTTGAGGCTTTGTCTGAGCAGCGTTTTGAGATGCTGGAGGCTGTAGAGATGAAATATCTCTCTCTCAAGACCGCTTTATTGGTAGTCCTTACTTCCGCAAAGCGAGTGAGTGAACGACATTCACTGTCAGCTCACAATTCCTGCCTACTGTTTGTCCAGGGTTTTACCAAGGTAACCCTATTGCCTAACCCCACCTTTATGCCTAAGGTCAGCGACAGTTACAATTGTCTTACCTTGGAGCTTATGACTTTCCACCTACCACCTTTCTCTTCTGCAGAGGACGAGCGTCTCCACCGTTTGTGTCCAGTGCATGCTTTACGCATGTATTTGGATAGAACGAGAGCTTGACGCAAGAGCGTCAACGGTTGTGACATTGGATAGTGGATGCTATAATACTAGCTTATAATAGCAAGGGGTTACAGCTTCTAAGGGCTCATTCCACCAGAGGTATGGCTACCTCTTGGGCTCTGTTCAAAGGCGTCTCCTTACAGGAGATCTGTAATGCGGCATGTTGGGCATCCCCTCATGAGGTTCTACCGACTGAAGTCACTGCACCTTTTCTGGCGCATACTGTTCTCAGTATCGGGGCGTCTGAGGGGTAGTCTGGAGACTAGTGTTCGGAGAGCGGGCCTGCTATATGGGAGTTTCATACGTCTCGTATGTGAGTCGTCTAAACAAATAATTGAAAGAGAACTCAAAGTTATTTACATAAACCCGGTTCTCTGATATTATAAGTGAGATGACTCACCACACTCCCCTCCTCACAAGAGGAAGATAGGCATGCTTGAATGGCCTTTTGGCAGGCGCGTGGACCCTGTTATGGGGAAGGGGGCTCACCCCATTGGGCGGCCTGTCTGTCTCCAACAGACGTTTGTGTTTGGTTCTTCGAGTTTTCTGGACACAGGCACGTTCCCACATGAGTCGTCCCACTCATAATATCAGAGAACCGGGGTTATGTAAATAACCTTGAGATGTTTTGTTTGTCACTGGTATCGTATATCTGTATATATATCATTCATACATCATTCTCCCCATCCTGAACATCATTGTATACACAGAGTGCACCACCAACTAGGGATCCCAATCTGAACCCAATCTTATATTACACACTCATCATAATGGAATGAAAGTACTGTATTTACGTATAAATAGCAGTTCTCTGTATAGACCAAACTCTTGTATTGTTTCAGTTCCATTTCCTTAAGGCATCAGCACTCAACACAACTCTCTCTGAATTAGTTAATATTGTTGACATTAAAGCTAAGAGCCTACAGGGCTGGAAGGCACACAAACTCAGACATACACACAAACACAGACATACACCCAAACACACACACAGAGAGAGAGACACACAGACTAAAAAACTATATTCTCAGGTCAGAGTCTGACACCCAGATCTGCAGCCAATTCCCTTCTCAATCCTGACTTCACTTGTTTCAGACCGCACAGCAGAAACAGAGGTTGTTGGGAATGAATATACAATATAATGAGACATGTTATAAGAAAAGGTCACAAGTAAAAAAAAATAATAATAATCCCGTTGAGCTGGGAAAAGAGAGAGAGAGAGAGATTCTCCCTTGAGGCTAAGCTGGATGGATGTAAATACCAAACAGTATGTTAGTACATCCATACGTTGCTGAGTGGTGCGATGGTAATTTCCCTCTCAGATGAGGATAAACGCTCTCAGATGACGTCTGAGGAATTTCCTGCCGAGCCGAGGTTTGAAGCAGCGGCAGCGCTGCATTCTGTTGTATCAAATGGAGAACATGTGGGAACATCGCAGTCATGTTAAGTTATGTCAGACAAAACTTTTAACTCCTAGTAAAGATTTAGGCCACCATTCATGGTAGAGATAAGAGATTATATAACAAATTTCATGTTCTCTCTAAATAAACTTATTGAAGACCAATTTGATCAATTTTAACTAGGGGTGAAAAATTTGACTAAGGGCCACACATTTGCAAAATCAAGTTGAAAACTCTTATCAACCAAGGCTTATTGTGATTCATTTGGATGACAACTTCCAATAATAAGCTATTAGGTACTGCTCCGAAATGATTCATCGAAATATAAATGTAAGTCACTATGCCACGCAAGCCTAATGGACTAATTACTGTACGAAATATAAAGGTTCATAGAGGTTATACACGTTGAATGTAAAATTAAATATATCCGCACCATACAAATGACCAAGCCACCACGTTGTAGTCACACATAAACTAATGAACAAATGAAACATCACAGCCAATGACGAAGTTATCGTAACAGGCAAAAGGCCAATAAAACCAAACCCTAGGTGGACTGAAGCCTATTTGGTCCATTAGTCACCACTCCGCCTGACTCTTCTTTCGATGTTTGTATGTTTTTTCAAGGATTAAAGATGTAAAAAACAAATGTACAACTTATTTGCAACCAATAATATCACCATGTAAATACAATCAGATTGATCAAATACAATCAATCATGATTTGCAACTGTAAAATTATTGTTCAAAACGTGCAATTAAATATTTCTTACACTTCTTGTTAAGAACATCACCATATTATTAGACAAATCAGTACTTCTGGAAATAAATTGGTGAAACCGATTGCGTAGGGTAGGTACATTGCCATAGTAGAATTGCTGGTTAAACGAAATTAAAACTTAATTTCAGTTTGCGAAAGATTTTGTCAATGATTAATGGATAACATTCCAATAATGAGAAATTGGTATTCCCACATTTATATCCTCAAAATAAAACCCAAATCCGCGTAGGGAGGCCTAATGCTAATGTGGCCAAGCTTAAGGTAAATTGAGTAGTCAGTTGTGACAATTAAACCATATCGTTGTCAACATACTGCCTACCACTACGCAACATCTTCGTTCAGTCTCGAGTAGCACAAAGTTTCATCTTAACATGGCAACATAGGCCTAATTATACATCCAATCTGTTTTGTGGAGCTGTAGCCTATTTCTGTCTGTTGTCCACACTTTTCCCTGTCCTGTTCATTGTTTTGTATGTTTGTTTGTTTTTTCAAGTGATTAAAATGATTGGTTAAAAACATAATTCTATATTATTTGTGCAACTTTCAATAACTTCATTACTATTATTAGAATACAATATAATTTGATTCAAAATACAATGCAATCATGATTTAGTTTCAAATGTCAAATGTGTAGCTTACAGTTCAGGAATATTTCCTTTTACCCTCTTGTTAAGAAATGACCATATTTGATTCAGACAAGTAAAATCATTAATGGATAACATAAATTGGAAACCATGGATTTGCGTAGGGTAGGCTACATTGCCATAGTAGATTTGCCGTGGTAAACGAGGAAATTAAATACTTTATTTCAGTTGTGCGGAATGATTGTCAAATAGATAAATCGCACTTAGTCGGGTAGAATTGCCGGATGAAATTGTTCCGATGATAATACCCATCAAAGATAAACCCAACATCCGCGTTAGGGAGCAGTAAATCGGTGGCCAATGCTGCTTGTAAATGAGATCAGCTGCGTTGGTGAATTTACCACGTATTGATGGTTTAACATCTGCCAATAATCTACTGGCCAATCTTCGTTGCAATAGGCCCATGGAAACATTCTGTTTGTTGTTGTTGTTTCAGCACTGAGAGGCCTGGACACCAGACCTATGGATGAGGAAGAGGAGGAGGAGGAAGATGAGGACACTAGTACAGTGGAGCCTCAGCTTAACGGCGTAACGGAGAAGTCTAACGGGAGCGGTAACGGACGTTCCTCTCAGATCCTCTATGTGATAACATCCAGTCCCGGTAAACCGGACCACAACATGCCAGGTCAGTGGGCCGGACCCAACAGGACCAACGGACACACCTCTAGTATGTAGATACCAATATCCTACCTACTTAACTATCCTATCTACCTCTAGTATGTAGAGACCAAGATTGTTGTTTTCTATCTCTCAGTTACCAACATCCTATCTTTCTACTTCTCTGGGGTTTCTAATATGGCTTTCTACTACGACTCACCTCTATTGATACCGACATGTCTACGTCCTATCTCTCCATCTCTCAGTTACTACTTGTTTGTTTTTTTGTACCTTTGGTACTGTTTTTTTTAACCTTTCTGGGGTTTCCCTTATGTGTAACCAACATCGTACCTTTCTGGGGTTTCTCTTATGTGTAACCAACATCGTACCTTCCTGCATCTGCATGCTGTTTTCGATTGTTCAAAAACGGTATGTTTTACAAAAAAGGTGTGAGACCTGTTTGGTTATAGGGATATACAGTGGGGGAAAAAAGTATTTAGTCAGCCACCAATTGTGCAAGTTCTCCCACTTAAAAAGATGAGAGAGGCCTGTAATTTTCATCATAGGTACACGTCAACTATGACAGCCAAAATGAGAAAAAAAATCCAGAAAATCACATTGTAGGATTTTTAATGCATTTATTTGCAAATTATGGTGGAAAATAAGTATTTGGTCAATAACAAAAGTTTCTCAATACTTTGTTATATACCCTTTGTTGGCAATGACACAGGTCAAACGTTTTCTGTAAATCTTCACAAGGTTTTCACACACTGTTGCTGGTATTTTGGCCCATTCCTCCATGCAGATCTCCTCTAGAGCAGTGATGTTTTGGGGCTATCGCTGGGCAACACGGACTTTCAACTCCCTCCAAAGATTTTCTATGGGGTTGAGATCTGGAGACTGGCTAGGCCCCTCCAGGACCTTGAAGTGCTTCTTACGAAGCCACTCCTTCGTTGCCCGGGCGGTGTGTTTGGGATCATTGTCATGCTGAAAGACCCAGCCACGTTTCATCTTCAATGCCCTTGCTGATGGAAGGAGGTTTTCACTCAAAATCTCACGATACATGGCCCCATTCATTCTTTCCTTTACACGGATCAGTCGTCCTGGTCCCTTTGCAGAAAAACAGCCCCAAAGCATGATGTTTCCACCCCCATGCTTCACAGTAGGTATGGTGTTCTTTGGATGCAACTCAGCATTCTTTGTCCTCCAAACACGACGAGTTGAGTTTTTACCAAAAAGTTCTATTTTGGTTTCATCTGACCATATGACATTCTCCCAATCCTCTTCTGGATCATCCAAATGCACTCTAGCAAACTTCAGACGGGCCTGGACATGTACTGGCTTAAGCAGGGGGACACGTCTGGCACTGCAGGATTTGAGTTCCTGGCGGCGTAGTGTGTTACTGATGGTAGGCTTTGTTACTTTGGTCCCAGCTCTCTGCAGGTCATTCACTAGGTCCCCCCGTGTGGTTCTGGGATTTTTGCTCACCGTTCTTGTGATCATTTTGACCCCACGGGGTGAGATCTTGCGTGGAGCCCCAGATCGAGGGAGATTATCAGTGGTCTTGTATGTCTTCCATTTCCTAATAATTGCTCCCACAGTTGATTTCTTCAAACCAAGCTGCTTACCTATTGCAGATTCAGTCTTCCCAGCCTGGTGCAGGTCTACAATTTTGTTTCTGGTGTCCTTTGACAGCTCTTTGGTCTTGGCCATAGTGGAGTTTGGAGTGTGACTGTTTGAGGTTGTGGACAGGTGTCTTTTATACTGATAACAAGTTCAAACAGGTGCCATTAATACAGGTAACGAGTGGAGGACAGAGGAGCCTCTTAAAGAAGAAGTTACAGGTCTGTGAGAGCCAGAAATCTTGCTTGTTTGTAGGTGACCAAATACTTATTTTCCACCATAATTTGCAAATAAATTCATTAAAAATCCTACAATGTGATTTTCTGGATTTTTTTTCTCTCAATTTGTCTGTCATAGTTGACGTGTACCTATGATGAAAATTACAGGCCTCTCTCATCTTTTTAAGTGGGAGAACTTCCACAATTGGTGGCTGACTAAATACCTTTTTCCCCCACTGTATACTGAACAAAAATATAAACGCAACATGCAACAATTTCAAAGAAATCAGTCAATTTAAATAAATAAATTAGGCCGCAATCTATGGATTTCACATGACTTGGCAAGGGCACAGCCATGGGTGTGCCTGGGAGCGCATACAGTAGGCCCACCCACTGAGGAGCCCAGCCAATCAGAATGAGTTTTTCCCCACAAAAGGGTTTTATTACAGACAGAAATACTCCCCCTCAGACGATCCCGCAGGTGAAGAAGCCTGATGTGGAGGTCCTGGGCTGACGTGGTTACACGTGGTCTGCAGTTGTGAGGCCGGGTGGACGTACTGCCAAATTCTCTAAAACGATGTTGGAGGCAGCTTATGGTAGAGATATGAACATTAAATGATCTGGCAACAGCTCTGGTGGACATTCCTACAGTCAGCATGCCAATTAAACGCTCCCTCAAAACTTGAGACATCTGTAGTATTGTGTTGTGTGACAAAACTGCAAATTTTAGAGTGGCCTTTAAGGTGCACCTGTGTAATGATCATGCTGTTAAATCAGCTTCTTGATATGCCACACCTATCAGGTGGATGGATTATCTTGGCAAAGGAGAAATGCTCACTAACAGGGATGTAAACAAATTTGAGCTCAACATTTGAGAAAAATAAGCTTTTTGTGCATATGGAAAATTTCTGGGATCTTTTATTTCAGCTCATGAACAATGGGACCAACACTTTACATGTTGCGTTTATATTTTTGTTCAGTATATATTAACAGATGTGCATCAAAAACGCAGGTACTCATATTTTACTGTCTGAATCGGTTCTGTTAAAGGGCTTTAGGCTAACATGTGCAGGTAGATCAAGCCTTACACTGAGTATACTCTTTCCATGACATAGACTGACCAGGTGAATCCAGGTGAAAGCTATGGTCCCTTATTGATGTCACCTGTTAAATCCACTTCATTCAGTGTAGATGAAGGGGAGGAGACAGGTTAAAGAATGATTTTTATACCTTGAGACAATTGAGACATGGATTGTGTATGTGTGCCATTCAGAGGGTGAATGGGTAAGACAAAAGATTGAAGTGCCTTTGAACAAGGTATGGTAGTAGGTGCCAGGCGCACCAGCTTGAGTGTGTCAAGAACTGCAACGCTGCTGGGTTTTTTACGCTCAAATGTTTCCCGTGTGTATCAAGAATGGTCGGACACCCAATGGACATCCAGCCAACTTGACACAGCTGTGGGAAGCATTGGAGTTAACATGGGCCAGCATCCCTGTGGAATGCTTTCGACACCTTGTAGAGTTCATACCCCGACGAATTGAGGCTGTTCTAAGTGCAAAAGGGGGTGCAACTCAATATTACAAAGGTGTTCCTAATGTTTTGTACACTCAGTGTATAATACTGTACAAATATGGTGTAGATGTGCCAGACAGTTTTTATTTTATAGCCCCCTTTTATCTCTTTCTGATAAGGTGCCTCCATGCCTGTCTGAGACTCTACTCAAGTGCATAGGGTTCTTCTTCACTGGTATGTTTCTTCTAAACTGTCTGATTTCAATTGTGTTTCTGTGTTGACAGTGTGGACCATCTACGCTCTAGCTGCTCTCCTGACTCTGACAGTCATAGCCATGGTGGCTAAACTACTCCTGCATATTACAGTGAAGTAAGTATTTCATTTTCCGTTGTTTGCTGTAACTTATGGACAGTAAAGTTGTATTGTACTAATGCCTCAATAGTGTAACCGAAGTGTAGTTGATTGCATGTAATGTCTTTTTAACGCTGTGAGAGCCCCAGCAGGTGGAATATATAACCTAATGTTACTATTCTCTCTTGCTATATCTATTTCTCTCTCTTCTCTCCCTCTCTCAATCTTTTTTTCCAGATCTCCCAACATCCCAACCATCAGTGGTTCAGAGAGCTGCAGCGGGCAGAGTGCTGCGTCCGAGCCCTGGATCATCTTCTACCGGCCCTCCACCATCTCCCTCTTCAAGAAGAAGCTAAAGAACCACCACGGAGACCTCAGCCCTCTGGTGGGCAACTAGCGAACTGCAGTCTGGTCCACTAACATCACCACCATCACCACTACTTCACCCTGTACCAGGGCCTACCGCACCAGAGCTAGCCACAGAGCTAGCCCCTCTACCAATGAGACTCTATGGGGCACTGAGCTACAAAGCTAACATGCTAACTAATGACTGATTCACTGACTCACTGAGTGACTACTACCAAATGGCCCAAGAGCCAAATCCCTAAAGGGGATCCAGACAGGGCTGTCTGTGTCTGCTGTGTACAAGGCAGGAGAGGAGGGCAGATATACAGTGTAAGGTGGACTTTTTACTGGGAGCCATGCATATTCCCTATCAGTGACTGTCATAGGTGTCTCACAGAACAAGGGGTTGGATCTTGACCAATGTCAGAGTAAGGCCTAGATTCAATCAGATCAAGCGTTAAACAGCGATATCTGATGTTTTGGCGGTGTCAGAGGTGTAACTGTGTTGGAGCAGTCAAATCGGTTAGCAGCTGCTCTTGATCACTGTCACAAAGCCACACCCACAGCTCGCGTTAGAAGTTCAGAAGGAGAAAGTGTAGGCTCAAATTAAAAATCATTCAACGAAATTAGAGTAATCGAGGTGTAGATTACAACTCACATTCCAGTGTTCGAACTTGTAAAGAAGGCTGCATGGGATTTCTGTTAATGCGACTCCGTGCAGCCAATGGTAATGTCCGCTTTAGGGATAATGCCAGGAGCCACTTGTGGATTTGAAAGCTCTAAAGCAGTTCCACCTCCGACACTGCTATCTCTTCCACACTGCCTCTGGAGGAAACTGTATCAAGAGTCTCTACTATGGCCGCTGGTGGATGAGGGATAGGGGGGGGGGTGGGGTTTCATTAAACAACTGCCATTTAAAGGAGTCTTTGAAATGCTCAGAGGTTCTCTCTCGTCCGCTCAGCTGTGGGTTCTTATCTTTCTGGTTTAACTATGTTTAAGTGCCTTAGGGCTCTTCAACAAGCCTGCTAGGCTTCTTTCCCTCTCCCCTCCTACCACTCTTCTCCTTGTCTCTGAGTCTATTGCTTGTGATCCCCACCCTATGACAGACTACGTCAATTGGAATTACTGTAGCGTGGGCGAGACTTGGAAAAAATGTTTGCTTGATTTCTTTTCTATTTCTTTTTCTATGTGCACTTATGTGTAGTCTTCTTGGACATTACTGAACATATTGTTATCGTTATGTTGCCATTTGATTACAAGGAGGGGGTAAATTGTGTTGTATATTGTGTAATTCAATGTGGGGGATGATGATGACATATGTCCTGCTCTTTCATTTTGTGTCTCGGCAAAGCAATGGCGAAATCCATCAAAGTCGTTTTTGTACTTACTCATCAACTGCAACTTAGCTCAGAGTTTGGGAGCTTTTTTTTTTCTTCCTGTCTTCAGCAGCAGATTCATTCCCACATTCAGAGGGCTCACTAGACCCAAACAACCTCTCTCAACTTGCAGCTAAAGCACAACTAATATGGGATGAATGAATGAACTCGTGATAGTCCACTGTGCAAGGCAAGCAGACTGTTGCAGTCCGGTGTGTTTCTGTGAGCTTTGAGGACACGTGAAAGGTCACAATGTGTTAATGTGCTCCTGGAATGCAGCAGGTTGGAATTCCATAAAGAGAGGTTGAACCATAGAGATGAAATATATGTTAATATATATTACATTATACTGTATATGTATAATAATGTTAGAATTGTATTTCTATCAGTTTGTTTTTCCCAACAATCTCAAACATAGTCAAAGCTGATTAATCTGGTCCAAAACCTCAATGCACTTAAATTTGCCGCTACTTGTATGGTGACAGATAAATAGTACTTCAATCTAGTTTGGCTCTTATCTGCTCTCGAAACAAAACCGTTAGAAACGGATTATTGGAGATTTGCAAACTGCAAACTTGATATTGAGAGCACTTGCAACAAAAGGGTTACAGTTGATATGCAAAATTGCACGAATAGATTACATTTTAGGTACTGTAACTTGGTCAAGAAATACTTCAATTTCACCTCATTTTAACATTCTGTCATAAACAGCACATGTTCAACTTCATAAAACAACATGTTTTCCCATCTCAAGGGTTAGGAAAAAAATACTATTGTAAGTGCCAATAAAGTGGCATTAAAGTAACAGGGTTGACATAACCAATGATTTATATATACTCTAGATGACTGACAAGGGGGCGCTGTTTTGAAGCCACCGCACCGCCATCTTGGCATTCCCCCACCTTTGTAAAAAAATATTTTGGAAGCTGTGGAAATGCATTTATAAATGTCTACATTTGTTTTTGCCACATTTATTATATTACAGACACCTTAATGCATACTTTTAAATAAAAGTATGTGAGCTAAACATACAAATAAATAATTCATAAATAAATAAAAACATTTAAAGTATTTTCTTTAGAGAGTGCTAATGTTACTGTCCCCACTACAACAACAAAAATACTTAAATACATGTAATTTTGTCTTTTAAACATTTCAATGAAATACTGTAGAATTCCATTCATTCCTATGGAGGACTGCTTTTCTGAGGAGTGCCAATATGGCCGACCGGTAGCTTCAAAGCCTCTCATTGGCCAATACATAGCATCAGCAATCCAGGGTTTATATACATCATTGACCGTAACATGGTTGAAGTTTTCATCTTAAATCAGCCATGCTTGTGATGGCTTGTGACAGGGGGAATGGAAGCTTGTTGTGTGCAACAGAGAGGGGCAATTGAATGGCCAAAAAGAGTTGACCCAGCTCACCTGCCTTTACACTATGATTTTACTATTATATGTTCAATGTTTCTTTTGAACGAGAGTTCAGTTCACGTAACAGGGTTGACCTTAAAATGAGGGGCAGACGTATATTAATCACTAATCACATTAAATAAATAATAATCTTCAGAAATAACTCTGTCAAAACAAGAACATAATTAGATGAAATGAAAAAAATGAAATAATTAGGGCTTTACAATGATGGTGAAAACCTAATGACATTTTGTGGTTAAGTGGGTTCAAATCTTCCTACAAGTCAGAACAACATGACAAGGGACATTTTTTTCAAGTGCAGATTTCTTTATTCATATAAAAAAAATCTGATGTATTGAATTGTCCATGTGGTCTATATTAAAGGGCACTTAATTTAATATAACAGGCTTTTAAGATTCAATATTGGTGCACAATTTTTACTTAAAATATCAAAGGGACCAGTGGTTGTGTCCCAAATGGCACCCTATTCCCAACTATATATAGTGCACTACTTTTGACCAGTGCCCTATGTGTCACATTGGAATGAGGTTTAGGATTTATCATAGGTGTGACTTAATGAGAGGGCCTCGCCTCGCGATGCAAGGAACTTTTCTTCTTCTCTGATGTTTGTCTGCTGGGTGACCTAATGTTGTATTTTGGCTGTCTGCTCATCTGTTACTCATGTTAATTATCGCAGGACAAGAAAATGCCCCTGGGTCTGTGATGTTCAGAGCAGTTTGTGCTTAGAGTAAGAGAGACTGTGTGTGTGTGTGTGTGTGTGTGTGTGTGTGTGTGTGTGTGTGTGTGTGTGTGTGTGTGTGTGTAAACGTTTTACTATATTTGTGAGTACCAGAAGTCCTCACAAGAATAGTAAACCAACAAAAATTCAGAGAAGTGAGGACATTTTTCCGGTCCTCACTTGTAAAAAGGCCATTTCAGGTTTAGGGGTTAGGGTTAGAATTAGGGTTAGGGTTAGAATTATGGGTTAGCGGTTAGTGGTTAGGGTTAGGAGTTAAGGTTAGGGTTAGGTTTAGGGTTAGGGATTAGGGAAAATAGGATTTTGAACGGGCATCAATTGTTGGTCCCCAAAAAGTCCTCACAAGTATAGTAAGACATAGAGAGAGCTCCAAATGTTTTGGGACAGTGACACATTGTCTGTTGTTTTGGCTCTGTACTCCAGCACTTTGGATTTGAAATGAGGTTAAAGTGCAGACTGTCAGCTTTAATTTGAGGGTATTTTCATGAACCGTTTAGAAATTACAGCAATTTTTTACATAGTCCCCCCATTTTAAGGGACAAAAAGTATTGGGACAAATTCACTTATATCTGTATTAAATTTAAGTATTTGGTCCCATATTCATAGCATGCAATGACTACATCAAGCTTGTGACTCTACACATTTGCTGGATGCATTTGCTGTTTGTTTTGGTTGTGTTTCAGAATATTTTGTGCACAATATAAATTAATGGTAAATAATGTATTGTGTCATTTTGGAGTCTCTTTTATTGTAAATAAGAATATAATATGTTTCTGAACACTTCTACATAAATGTGGATGCTACTATGAATACAGATAATCCTGAATGAATCGTGAATAATGAAAGTGAGAAAGTTACAGATGCACAAATATCATACCCCCAAAACATGCTAACATCTCACCATTACAATAACAGGGAAGGTTAGCATTTTGTAGCGGGGTATGATATTTGTTCACCCGATATGGAGGAAAATACCCTCAAATTAAAGCTGACAGTCTGCACTTGAACTTCATAGTCATTGTATCATTTCAAATCCAAAGGGCTGGAGTAGAGAGCCAAAACAACAACAAATGTGTCCCAATACCTTTGGAGCTCAATGTACGTAGCTGTGTGTGTGTGTGCGTGTGTGTGTGTGTGTGACAGAGAGAGATAGCATGTGTGCATGGAAGAGAGTATGTGAGTGAGAGAAAGAGGGGGAGCGTGTGTGTATGAGGAAAATCAGAGAGAGGCGTCTTTGTCAAATCACATAGAAAGTAACCATATCTGACAGTTTAAATCTAGCAAGGTCATGTCTGTTTGGATAGCCTGATGAATAATAACACCAACTCCATTTTCTCCCCTGTCCTCCAGTCAACCGGACAATTCCATGGTACCTTCTTATAATAATGGAAACTGTCTTCTCTTTTCTCTATCTGTGGTGCATTCAGAATGATACTTGGTACTGTTGTCATGGTAATAAGATGAGCAGCTCAGTGTGATATGGAGACCAATGGGTTTTGGGGGAATACAAAATACTGTTTTCATGAAAATTGTAAATAAATTAGTGAAATTGTAATTTATACCGTAAATTATTGTTATTTTGTATGTGAATGGGATATAATCTATATTTTGTATAAGTGAAGTACCTTTGTAGTTTTATTTAAATTAATGTGTCCTTCTGGTTGCTAAATAAATACTGTATGCATGTTTCTTATCCCTGTGTCCAGCCGTGATTAATCATACCAGCACACAAGACATACCCTACACATTTTCAGAATACATTATATGGATATTCACATGTATAGTGTGAATACATGTGAACAACCAGTATCCCTGCACATTGATATAGTACTGGTACTGAACTTGTATATAGCATTCAATACTGATGTGTTTCTATTTCTTGTGTGTTTTTTATTTTAACTGACCCAGTAATTGATTCCCTGCTCTTCTTTTAGTTTCAAATTGTACCTTTGATATTGTTGAGGAAAAGCTTGCAAGCATTTCACTGTACTGTTTACACCTGTTGTATCCTGTGCATGTGACAAATACACTTTGATAAATAAAAATAGTTTTAAAAATAGAATAATATCTAACAGTAGAGCTGGAAAAGGGAATTGTTGTTTATACACATAGAGAAAAGTATACTATTATACTGTAGGAGTACTGAAGTAAAAGTACTAGTACAGTGGATAAACATTATAGTCACAAACATTTTTAGAGAAGTCGTACCCATGAAGTACCTCTTTTTATCCATGTCCCACAAGTATACAGCTTGAACTAACCCTCCACAGTGCCTCCACTAAGCATCCATAGCCCTGTTGGGCCACTTCAGTCAGTGCTTGAAAAGATTATGACTCCCAATATCTGCAAGGAGGGTCATTTAAGCCCTGTTTTTCTCCAGAGCAGCAGAATGCTTATCGTATGTCTGAAATGACTGCCAGACTCTCTCTTGCTATCTCTCTGTAGATGCATAGACACAGAGTAGTGTCATGCCCTGGCTCTGGGGACACTTATATGTTGAGCCAGGGTGTTAGTTTCTATGTTTAGTGTTCTATGTTCATGTTCTAGTTCATGTGTTTCTATGTTGGCCGGGGTGGTTCCCAATCAGAGGCAGCTGTGGCTTGTTGTCTCTGATTGGGAACCATACTTAGGCAGCCTGTTTTGCACTTGTCATTTGTGGGATCTTGTTCCGGAGAGGTTTGTGTTTTGTTAACCTTAGGACTTCACGTATCGTTTTGTTGTTTTGTTGTATTGTGTAGTACTCATTAAAAGATGTACGCATATCACGCTGCGCCTTGGTCTGCTTCTTCTAACGAACGTGACAGAAGATCCCACCAATTAAGGACCAAGCAGCGTGTCCAGGAGCAAACGCCGGAGGTAACGCTAGTGGATGTCCTCCTCGGTTGGGGGAAGATCACCGAGGAGGAGGCCGTCCGCTACCGGAGGGCGATGAGGGAGGATTTCCAGGCAGGAGAGGAGAAGCGGCGCCAACCGGGCCGTCGTCGGACAGGCGAGAGGCAACCCCAATACATTTTTTGGGGGGGGGCACACGGCATGGACGACAGGGCTGCTGGAGGCAGCTACAGGGCGAGTTTGTGGACTAGGAGAGGAGGCCACCAGGTTACGGGGGCCATTGGTCAGGAGGGAGAAGGAGAGTGTGGAGGCACGGCGAGAGGAACTGAGTAGGCAGCAGAGGGAGCGGAGGTTTATGAGGAAACCCAGTCCCGCTCCTCGCACCAAGCAAGTGGTGTGTGTCACCAGTCCGGTCCGGCCCGTTCCTGATTCCCGCACAAGGCCAATGGTGTGTGTTCCCAGTACGGTCAGGCCCGTTCCTGCTCCCCGCACTAAGTTAGTGGTGCGTGTTCCCAGTACGGCCCAACCCGTTCCTGCTCCCCGCACTAAGTTAGTGGTGCGCGTCGCCGGCCCGGCCTGTTCCTGCCCCTCGCACCAAGCCAGTGGTGCGCGTCGCCAGCCCGGCCCGGCCTGTTCCTGCTCCCCGCACCAAGCCTGTGGTGCGCGTCGCCAGCCCGGTCCGGCCTGTTACTGCTCCCCACACCAAGCCAGTGGTGCGCGTCGTCAGCCCGGTCCGGCCCGTTCCTGCTCCCCGCACCAAGCCAGTGGTGCGCGTCGCCAGCCCGGTCCGGCCGGTTCCTGCTCCCCGCACCAAGCCAGTGGTGCGCGTCGTCAATCCGGCACAGCCCGTGCCTGTTCCACCGGTGCCTGGTCAGGTACCGGTCAGCTGCTCCACACCGGAGCCTAAGCAATCCGCTCCACCGATGTCCAGTCCAGCTCCAGCCAGCGGGACCAGACCAGGGGCGCTACGGGGGGGTAGCTAGAGAGTGGTGGTCACGCCCAGAGCCGGAATGCCCACCCGGCCCCTCCCCTGTTGGGTTTAGTTGGCGCGGTCGCAGTCCGCGCCTTTGGGGGGGGGGGGTACTGTCACGCCCTGGCTCTGGGGACACTTATATGTTGAGCCAGGGTGTTAGTTTCTATGTTTAGTGTTCTATGTTCATGTTCTAGTTCATGTGTTTCTATGTTGGCCGGGGTGGTTCCCAATCAGAGGCAGCTGTGGCTTGTTGTCTCTGATTGGGAATCATACTTAGGCAGCCTGTTTTGCACTTGTCATTTGTGGGATCTTGTTCCGGAGAGGTTTGTGTTTTGTTAACCTTAGGACTTCACGTATCGTTTTGTTGTATTGTGTAGTACTCATTAAAAGATGTACGCATATCACGCTGCGCCTTGGTCTGCTTCTTCTAACGAACGTGACAAGTGGTGGGTATTCGGAGCAGACCTGGGTTCAAATACTACTCTAAATCATTTCAACTAATTTAGCTAAACTTGATTGAGCTAACCTATTGCATTGAAACCAATAGAGAAGTCCCAAAAGTGTAAACCAAGCAAACACAGCACACCTGGCACACCAGGTAGGCTAAGGCAAACGCTCAAAGTATTTAAAATATTTCTAATCCTATTTGAACCCAGGTCTGGTATTGGGGGTGCCATGTTTGACCCATTGGCTCTCTTCTGTGCAAACGGAGGTCAGTCATGCAACCTGCAGATTTGGAAGAGTGTGAGGTTAGAGATTCAATTGGAACCGGGTGAAAAGTAAAAACATGAACGGATATATTATAATCTAAAACATTTGTGTGGGTATGTGTATTTTTTTCTTCAAATGGACTAGTGGAAGAGGGCAAGAGGCTCTGGTTAACCTAACTCAACAGGACTCGTAATTTGTCAAATAAAATTGCACACAGAAAAAACCCAATTTTGAAGCAAGACTTACACTGACACTGCATATCTAGTTTGAATCCGACACACATTTAGAACAGATAATTCACTTAAAGTGAGGCAGATCATTGCATTTTTAAAAGGAAATATTATGTTCAACATGACCATGGGTCAGGATATGTTAACATTGTAGAGCCTCAACCATGCGGCAGGTAGCCTAGCGGTTAGAGCGTTGTGCCAGTAACTGAAAGGTTGCAGGCTCGAATCCCCGAGCCAACAAGGTAAAACATCTGCCGATGTGCCCTTGAGCAAGGCATTTAACCCTAATTGCACGATAAGTGTCTGCTAAAATGTAAAAAAAATACCTGTGGCGAACAGTTGACCTGAATGTTTAATACTTTGAAATACTGTCGTCTTACCCCCTCTACTGGTGGCATGCATTTCTGCTCCATACCAGTTTACAGCTGTAGGCTTATAAGAATGGAAGACAGCAGCACACTCTACTAACTCAGAATAGCATGGGGGTCTGTGCCACTGACCTCTCATGAAGACAGAGATAATGAGAGAGACTTGCTCTGTGAAGAAGGGAAGGAGATAGACAGAGAAACATAGTATTTTGCTACCACACAGACTACACGACACCTCGCCTTGCATCGACCCTGACTGCTCTTTTCACTCCCCTGGTCCACTGGTGCTGCCTAGCTATTGTTAGGCTGTAACACTAGTCCTGGGAGTCTAACTTAGCCCTCTCTCTCTGTATATGTGACACAGAGAAATAGGAGGACCTTTGTCTCCCCTCTCTCTCCACAGAGCCAGTGTGTTTCCACCATCCACCGGGTCCCTATGGGATGGCCATGCAGGCCATGGCCCTGTCCCCTGTTCCTCCTGTCACCTTCCCTGTAGCAGAGGCCATGAGAACAGACTGGTGCCAGCTTCTCCCTCTGAACATGAGACCTAGCCTCTAATTAACACAACAATAGAGACAATGGACCCGGGTGTCTGGTTACCAGAAGAGAAGAGAAGAAGAGATGAGAAAAGAAGAGAAGAGAAAAAGTTTGGTCCCAATCAATGAACAGGCAGGAGAACTAACACTTTCTGCACTAAAAGATAAAGAGGTAGAAGAAGTCAGAAACTGGAGCAGTATAAAACCACAAATAGGCTAGTGATGTGTGTGTGTGTCTCTGTGTGTGTGTGTGTGTGTGTGTGTGTGTGTGTGTGTGTGTGTGTGTGTGTGTGTGTGTGTGTGTGTGTGTGTGTGTGTGTGTGTGTGTGTGTGTGTGTGTGTGTGTGTGTGTGTGTGTGTGTGTGTGTGTGTGTGTGTTGTTGGCGTCGCATAGATATGACATCGGTAAGAAGTACCCAGTTAGAATGTTTGTGTTTTTTATGCCGAGAAACTCGAGAACAAACTCGTGAAAATAATGAGTTCCAACAGGGAAAAGTCGTTTTGAACGGTCATCCAACTCGGAAACTCTGGCAACATTCTAGAGCTCCGACTTTCCGACCTGAAGATCACTAAAGTCATTATTTGACCTAATTTTTTCCGAGTTCCCAGTTGTCATGTTTTTCTTTCAAAATAGATGCAAGAGTTTCCAACTTGGGTTGGATGGATGACCGCTCAAAACAATTGTTCTCTTTTTTTACGAGTTCCCAGTTGTCTTGAACGGACTGAAGTCGGAGATTTCTGAGTTCCCAGATGTTTTTAACGCGGCATGAGATTCAACATGGCGGCCTGAAAGATGGCGGAAGCTGTTGTGGATTTTGAATCTAATGGCGGCAAAATAAAGGAGAATTTGAGTATTGTCCAAAAAAAAAAAAAATGGAGCAAAGTCGTGTTCAGTGCTGAGAATGTCCCTTCGTATCTTGTACGGTTTGTTAAGGAGGAGCAGCTGATCGGATTATCAATCTTGAAGAATCCATTTGAGATATCCAAACTGGTGGAGAGAGTGCTGGGTAAAGTGAGGGCTGTGAGGATCACCAAAGGCGGGCTTGTTTAGATTTTTTGTACTTCTGAGGACCAGAACGAACGTGTGTTGCGTCTCACCCGATTTCAGAAGTTTGACGTGTGGTCTGTGTCTCTTCGGAACAGGGCACCCCTCAAGATGGCTAAAGTCAGGGCTGTCCAGAGCATTTCATATGCAACGGCTGTTAAAAGGGTTGAAGGTTCGAATGGTACTCCTGAAGAGTCCATGGTGGTGGATAGGCCTTCACTGCAGGCTGCAGGGGTTGCCTTTCACCAGCAGAACTCTGATATTTTAAAGGTTAACAAGGTGGACTTTGTGGCGTTTATACAGTTGAAATCGGAAGTTTACATACACTTAGGTTGGAGTCATTAAAACAATTTTTTCAACCACTCCACAAATTTCTTGTTAACAAACTATAGTTTTGGCAAGTCAGTTAGGACATCTACTTTGTGCATGACACAAGTAATTTTTCCAACAATTGTTTACAGACAGATTATTTCACTTATAAATCACTGAATCACAATTCCAGTGGGTCAGAAGTTTACATACACTAAGTTGACTGTGCCTTTAAACAGCTTGGAAAATTCCAGAAAATTATGTCATGGCTTTAGAAACTTCTGATAGGCTAATTGACATCATTTGAGTCAATTGGAGGTGTACCTGTGGATGTATTTCAAGGCCTACCTTCAAACTCAGTGCCTCTTTGCTTGACATCATGGGAAAATAAAAAGAAATCAGCCAAGACCTCAGAAGAAGAGTTGTAGACCTCCACAAGTCTGGTTCATCTGTACAAACAATAGTACGCAAGTATAAACACCAGGGGCCCACGCAGCCGTCATACCGCTCAGGAAGGAGACGCGTTCTGTCTCCTAGAGATGAACGTACTTTGGTGCGAAAAGTGTGAATCAATCCCAGAACAACAGCAAAGGACCTTGTGAAGATGCTGGAGGAAACAGGTACAAATGATCTATATCCACAGTAAAACAAGTCCTATATCGACATAACCTGAAAGGCCGCTCAGCAAGGAAGAAGCCACTTCTCCAAAACCGCCATAAAAAAGCCAGACTACGGTTTGCAACTGCACATGGGGACAAAGATCGTACTTTTTGGAGAAATGTCCTCTGGTCTGATTAAACAAAAATAGAACTGTTTGGCCATAATGACCATCGTTATGTTTGGAGGAAAAAGGGGGGCTTGCAAGCCGACGAACACCATCCCAACCGTGAAGGACGGGGGTGGCAGCATCATGCTGTGGGGGTGCTTTGCTGCAGGAAGGACTGGTGTCCTTCACAAAATAGATGGCATCATGAGGAAGGAAAATTGTGTGGATATATTGAAGCAACATCTCAAGACATCAGTCAGGAAGTTAAAGCTTGGTCGCAAATGGGTCTTCTTAATGGACAATGACCCCAATCATACTTCCAAAATTGTGGCAAAATGGCTTAAGGACAACAAAGTCAATGTATTGGAGTGGCCATCACAAAGCCCTGACCTCAATCCTATGGAAAATGTGTGGGCAGAACTGAAAAAGTGTGTGCAAGCAAGGAGGCCTACAAACCTGACTCAGTTACACCAGCTCTGTCAGGAGGAATGGGCCAAAATTCACCCAATTTATTGTGGGAAGCTTGTGGAAGGCTACCCGGAACATTTGACCCAAGTTAAACAATTTAAAGGCAATGCTACCAAATACTAATTGAGTGTATGTAAACTTCTGACCCACTGGGAATGTGATGAAATAAATAAAAGCTGAAATAAATTATTCCCCTTACTATTATTCTGACATTTCACATTCTTAAAATAAAGTGGTGATCCTAACTTACCTAAAACAGGGACTTTTTACTAGGATTAAATGTCAGGAATTGTGAAAAGCTGAGTTTAAATGTATTTGACTAAGGTGTATGTAAACTTCCGACTTCAACTGTAGCTATGGTGATTAATGGCACTGCCAAGGTGGAGAAGAGGTCCAGGAAAATAGATATCATTGTGGATACGGCGGAGCGGTTCCTGGGACTGAAAGGAAAAGAATTTCAGCGGTGGAGTTGCATGGAGTATTGTCACAAGCCATACTGCACCACCCTCTTAGGCCCTAGAACCTGAGAAGAGAGATATGGAGATTTGAAGGAAGAAGTGGGAGTTTTGTTTTGTTTTTGTCAACATACTATTTTTATCAGTGGTGTCAAGTACCACTTAAGTCATTTTTTGGGGGGTCTGTACTTTACTTTAGTATTTATATTTTTTAACAACTTTTTATTCACTACATTCCTAAAGAAAATAATGTACTTTTTACTCCTACCTTTTCCCTGACACCCAAAAGTACTTGTTACATTTTGAATGCTTAGCAGGACAGGGAAATGGTCCAATTCATGCACTTATCAAGGGACCATCCCTGGTCTACCCTACTGCCTCTGATCTGGCAGACTCACGAAACACAAATGCTTCGTTTGTAAATTATGTCTGTGTTGGAGTGTGCCCCTGGCTATCCGTAAAATGTTTTATCAAAAAAGACAATTGTGCCGTCTGGTTTGCTTAATATAAGTAATTTGAAATTATTTATACTTTTACTTTTGATACTTAACTATTTTCAAACCAAATACATGTTTTTTTACTGGGTGACTTTCACTTTTACTTGAGTCATTTTCTATTAAGGTAAATTTACTTTTACTCAAGTATGACAATTGTGTACTTTTTCCACCACATATTTTAATTTGTTTTGATTCAGTTAGTTTTCCCAATCGCGTATGGATTTTCTTTTTACCTTGTTTTTTCAACCCGTCCAGTTGGTGGCGGAAATACACCTTGTTGGGTTGTAGTCCGCCATAAAACCCACAGAAGAAGAAGAAGAAGAAAAATATCATGGCGGCCTCCATTAGGTTGCTCGCGCGGAGAATAGTTCGTGACGCTTCTCGAAATATCAACAGCAGCGTGTCTGGTCGAATAGTCAGGTCGAGTTGCCCTTCAAATCTTTCAGCTTGTCGATGTTTCAGCGATGGTGCCACGGACAAAAGTACACATTTCGGCTTCGAGACTGTGCCCGAAGGAGAGAAGGCAGAGAGAGGTAGATAGCTACGTTAATGGTGCTCGGATATTTATTAATTGATACGCCTAGCTTGTTGGTTCAGTTGGCCATTAATGCCCGACCTTGGATTTTATGTTCATTGCAAATGTATCTCAAAGTCTGTAGAGGCAAACCATTTTACCTCTTTAATTTAGTTAACGTTATCTAACTTGAAAATCGATTGTTAACCTTGCCCTAGAACGATCAGCGTGTGTAGTCTAAGTTTTGCAACGGTTAGCCGTGCATGCGCCAATGCTGGTGTAATATGGGGTGTATCTCGGCTTCTAAAGTAGCTTCCTATCCTCGTCTTGTCCATGTCTAATGTCTCCTTCATCTGTAATGGGGTACTGCTAATTCAAGAAAATCACAGTGAAACACACATGTCTGATGACAGTATTGTACCCAAAATGATCCATTCCCTGTCCCTGATATCGACTCGCTTCCTTCAAAACGTTAACCCAGAGATTTTTATAGTTATGAATAGGTCTCCCCTGTTCATCTGTGGTCAACCCTTCACCTTTGCCTGTATGTGCATCTCCAGTTTACAAGGTGTTTGAGAGTGTGGCCCAGAAGTATGATGTGATGAATGATGCTATGAGTCTGGGGGTCCACCGGCTCTGGAAGGACATGCTACTCCACGTTATGAACCCCCAGCCAGGCATGCGCCTACTGGACGTAGCTGGAGGAACAGGTAGGCTTCCTATTCAGTGATCATAACAGTAGTCCTTATGTAGCACAGGTGATTTTGAATCAAGCTCTCGTGTTGAGCTAGCCCTGCCTGAGACTTGTGTTGTTCACATCCCACCTGTTACACACACTTGTACCTCCATTTTTCTCTGTCAATTCAAATACATCACTTCAACTGTGCACCTCCAGGTGACATCTCCTTCAGATTCCTGGACTATGTGAGGTCTCAGCAGGAGCGTGTTGCACGGCGGACTGCCCGGGCCAACCAGACCCCCTCATGGCAGGAGATATCAACCAGCTACACGCCCCCCACAGAGGGAATAGAGATGGAGACAGAGGCCAGAGAGTCCAGGGCTGTCGTCTGTGACATCAACAAGGAGATGCTAAAAGTGGGCAAACAGAAAGCAGAGAGCATAGGCATCAGTAGTGGTAGGGTGATTTAATATCAAGTTTTTATTGAATTACTATGTTATATTTGATATTATCTGGTGTATCACCTCATCTATTGATTAGTCAATCTACTATCTTTATTATTTATATGCATACAGTATTACCCTCCATTTACTATCTTCCTGTAGTACACCATTTTACCCTCATTAGACTTGTATGTGGACTGTGCTTTCAGTAAGTACTCATGATTTCTGTTGGCTTGACTGAGTATACGATGTGATATAACTCTGTATGTTTTTCTCACCTGTGTGTCACAGGCCTGTCCTGGGTGGTAGGAGATGCAGAGGAGCTGCCTTTCGATGATGACCAGTTTGATGTGTACACCATCGCTTTCGGCATCCGTAATGTCACCCACATAGACCTGGTAATCTCCTTCTCAATCCACTTAATCACAGTGTAGGACATTGTGAAGCCCCCTGCAAAGGCTGGCTGCCTTTTTTTTCTTTCGTAGGTACTCCTGGCAAGCAAGGAAATAAACATTTGTCTTTAATCTTGCATTAATTGTACACCAGAAATCGAACTTGATAATGTAGCCAAATAGAATACTCTTCTACGGGCCAATGCTTACCAACAATTATAAAATAAAATGTTTTTCCTCTGTCTTATTTCCAGGCCCTACAGGAGGCTGTACGGGTGCTGAAGCCAGGGGGAAGGTTCATGTGTCTGGAGTTCAGTAAAGTCACCAACCCCCTGCTGTCCAGGCTCTACGATGCCTACAGTTTCCAGATGATCCCAGTGCTGGGGGAGGTGATCGCTGGTGACTGGAAGTCCTATCAGTACCTGGTGGAGAGCATCCGGAAGTTTCCAGACCAGGTAAGAATGAATGATTCAATCATCCTTCTGTACCTATTCCGTCTGGCCCTTTGGTGGCCAGAATTATGCCAAATAGATTTCTCTGAAACCATCTTATTCTTCAAATACTGCCCGAATAAATTACATCAGTTCCTGTTGTTTATAATTCAATTGGATATTGTGTACGTTTGTATACCTAAGTTTTGCTGTATGTTTTTACTGAACTGTTTCGCTCTCCCTCTACAGGAGACGTTCAAACGAATGATTGAGGAGGCAGGGTTCTTTTCCGTCCGCTACCACAACCTGACAGGAGGAGTGGTGGCCCTCCACTCTGGATTCAAGCTGTGAGCAGAGCAGTGCTGATCTAGGATCGGGTACCCGCTGTCGATTTATAATTGTATTCATTAGGATCTAAAAGGCAAAACTGATCCTAGATCAGCCCTCATGCACTGAGACAATTTATGAATACGGGCCCTGGACTCTAACCAGTCAAGGCCGAGGCCCAGTGTGAGACAGACAGCTCCTCTAGGGTATGTGTGACTGGGGTTTTAAACCCAAGCAGATCCCACTGCAAACATCCAAGGAAACAATATACACAGAAATGGAAACACTGACATGCTGTCTACAATATTTGTGCATTATATTTATTTTTCTGATGGTTTGAGGAAAGGCTGGTTTTCTCAGTGGGTACAATAAATCTATTTAGCAGGTTTCATTTTGGGGTTACAATGTGAACCCAACCTCTGCTCACAGGTCCACTAGAGGCCAGAAGTTCTGTCCCAAATGGCACCCTATTTCCTATATGGACCCTGGTCAAATGTAGTGCACTATATAGGGAATAGGTTCCCATTTGGGATGTAGCCTGAGCGACCAATGGGAGGAGCACTTCGCAAAGGGAGCATCATGACACCACAATTTAAAATCTCAATATTTTTTGGTGATGTCAACCAAAAAGTGTCAACCGGTTTTACAATAAAAGTAAAGGCCTACAAACCTAAGTCCTCTTTTGTGCTTTAGCAATCCAATATTGTTTCCCGCTTTCAAAATAAGTACTAACTACTGTGAAACATCTTTAAATGCTTGATTTAGTGAGATTCGGATGGATTTTATCTAGTCACTTTTCCCCATCTGGATAGAGCAGTCATCCCATGTGAAAAGTCTTATTACCCTCCTCTGGTCAACTGAGAAACTACATTACAGAAACTACAGAACACATGATCACTCTAAAAGTTATGGATTGATATGGTCCCCTGTTGCTGAAACTTGACTGAAATAACCCTGAACCACACAAAGCCACTAATTGTGTACAAATCAATCAAATAAAACTTTATTGAAAGCATATTTTAAAATCGCAATACATTTTACAGTAAAACAATAGGATGAAGGAGAATTTTCTGTTTTAAATTAAACCGAAAGCAATAAAAGAGACGAACGCAAGAACATTCAAACAAAATATGTGTAAAATAATAGTGACAGAGAGCCTCACAACAGAGCATTGTTTTATGGAGACTCATTTTCTGTTTTCTTTTGTCTTTTATTATGACTCCTGGCCAGTCATCAAAGGGATCTGAGGACGGTCCGATTGTTGTGGCCACTGAGTTGTTTTTAACATTTGAATACAGCTGTTTAAAATGCAGTTGTTCAGTGTAAATGCATTGCTGAGTTTCAGTGTGAGTATCATATGTACTAAGATTTATATTAGCAGGGGTGGACTTAGACTTAGCAAGGCCAGTCCCCTTTATAGTAAAGACGTAATTAAACTGTAAAAATGTATTACCTTTTTAATGTGCCCAGAACACAACCAGTCATGATGTTTTCATAATTGTCAAACAGATCACTTTAAAAAGTAGGTTACCTTCGCACGTTGATCCAAAATAATTCCAGCATCCGAACAGTGCACTGTGCACCAGCCAACTTTCCTTCAGTTCGCAAGCGGCTGAAACGATCTCACCGGAGAAATCACCCGAGAGAGTGAAACAGCGCCCTTCTGTCTCACTATATGTAGCCCGTGCATCTGACACTGTCTGGCCAAAAAGAGTATGACATGCCATACTCTTTTTGGCCAGACGGCATCAGATACATGGGCTACACATACAGTGCATTCGGAAGGTATTCAGACCCTTTGACTTTTTCCACATTTTTTTACGCTACAGCCTTATTCTAAAATTGATTAAATTGTTTTTTTCTCATCAATCTACACACAATAGCCCATAATGACAAACCAAAAACAGTTTTTTATAATTATTTGCCGCAATTAATAAAAAATACTGATATCACATTTACACAAGTATTCAGACCCTTTACTCAGTACTTTGTTGAAGCACCTTTGGCAGCGATTACAGCCTTGACTCTTCTTGGGTATGACGCTACAAGCTTGGCACACGTGTTTCTCCCATTCTTCTCTGCAGATCCTCTCAAGCTCTGTCAGGTTGGATGGGGAGCATCGCTGCACAGCTATTTTCAGGTCTCTCCAGAGATTTTAGATCGGGTTCAAGTCCGGGCTCAGGCTGGGCCACTCAAGGACATTCAGAGTCCTGTCCAGAAGCCACTCCTGCATTGTCTTGGCTGTGTGCTTTGGGTCATTGTCCTGTTGGAAGGTGAACCTTCGCCCCAGTCTGAGGTCCTGAGCGCTCTGGCACAGGTTTTCATCAAGGATCTCCCTGTGGGGTGGGGGTGGTGGGGGGGGGGGGGTGCAATGCAAATAGTCTGGGTAGCCATTTGATTAGATGTTCAGGAGTCTTATGGCTTGGGGGTAGAAGCTGTTTAGAAGCCTCTTGGACCTAGACTTTGCGCTCTGGTACCACTTGCCGTGCGGTTGCAGAGAGAACAGTCTATGACTAGGGTGGCTGGAGTCTTTGACAATTTTTAGGGCCTTCCTCTGACACCGCCTGGTATAGAGGTCCTGGATGCCAGGAAGCTTGGCCCCAGTGATGTACTGGGCCGTACGCACTACCCTCTGTAGTGCCTTGCGGTTGGAGGCCGAGCAGTTCCCATACCAGGCAGTGATGCAACCAGTCAGGATGCTCTCGATGGTGCAGCTGTAGAACCTTTTGAGGATCTGAGGACCCATGCCTAATCTTTTCTCCTGAGGGGGAATAGGTTTTGGTTGACCTTCTGGAAGGTTCTCCCATCTCCACAGAGGTACTATGGAGCTCTCTCAGAGGGACCATTGAGTCTTGGTCACCTCCCTGACCAAGGCCCTTCTCCCCCGATTGCTCAGTTTGGCCGGGCGGCCAGCTCTAGGAAGAGTCTTGGTGGTTCCAAACTTCTTCCATTTAAGAATGATAGAGGCCATTGTGTTCTTGGGGACCTTCAATGCTGCCGAAATGTGCCTCGACACAATCCTGTCTCGGAGCTCTATGGACAATTCCTTCGACCTCATGGCTTGATTTTTGCTCTGAGACCAACTGTGGGACCTTACATAGACAGGTGTGTACCTTTCCAAATCATGTCCAATCAATTGAATTTACCACAGGTTGACTCCAATCAAGTTGTAGAAACATCTCAAGGATGATCAATTGAAACAGGATGCACCTGAGCTCAATTTCGAGTCTCATAGCAAAGGGTCTGAATACTTATGTAAGTAAGGTATTTCTGTTTTGTATGTGTAATAAATTTGCTAAACTTTCTACAAACCTGTTTTCGCTTTGTCATTATGGGGTATGGTGTGTAGATTGAGGATATTGTAAAAAAAAAAAAAAAAAATCATTTTTAGAATAAAGGCTGTAACGTAACAAAATGTGGAAAACGTCAAGGGGTCTGAATACTTTCCGAATGCACTGTACATGTCCTCTGCCTCGGCAACGATGGCAGTATTATCAGCAGCACCTGCAATAACTTAGGTACATTTCTTACTTTGTATTTTCTCTGCCCCGCTCTGAAAGCACCTCATTGCTGCAGCATGCGGAGCATGGAGGGGCTTCAAGCTGAGAAATTATATAAAACATTTGATTTTATGTCATGTCCAGCTCACAAGGCCCCTTGAGGATGTGAGGCCTGAGGCAATTTCCTCTTTTGCCTGATGTTAAGTCAACCACTGTATATTACGTCTATTCAATAGGAGTTTAAAAGTGTCTTCTCTTCCATGCAAGTCCTGGCATGGTTTGAATACTACTGCCCTGCAGGAGACCAGGGGTTCAGGTCTGCTAAATTGACAGTACTTTTTGTGATCCAATTGAAATTTTTGTCATTTAGCAGACGCTCTTATCCAGAGCGACTTACAATTAGTGAGTGCATACATTTTTCATACTGGCCCCCCGTGGGAAACGAACCCACAACCCTTGCATTGCAAGCGCCATGCTCTACCAACTGAGCTACAGGAGGGCCAATAAATCATTCTAGATAAGCCTAGCTGTCAGTAGCTACTGAAATCCAAAATGAGTGGCACCTCGAGGAACAAGTTGACACCAGCTTAGGGAGTTGTGAAACAACCATTCACCTTATAGGATGTCGATATCACATATCACACTTAAAACGGTAGTCCAAACTAACAATAATCCCATAGGATCTAGATATCACATATCAACAGATGTCCAAACTAAAAGCTATAGCCTAAAATCCTGAGGAAAGGGCACAGTTGATTTGTTGTGTCATGTCCTCCTCTCCAACCCTACAGGCTGGATTGACTTCAGAGCAGAATGTTGTTTAATTCCTGAAGAGCCACAGGCTTTTATTCCAACACGCTTCTTAATTCGTTTAACCAGGTGTGTTACGGCTGGGCTGGAACTAAGGTTGCAAAGTGAGTGAGGGTAAATTACTGGAAACTTTTGTTGTTTACCAGTAAACTACCAGAATTTTGGCAACTGTCAACTTTTTTGGGGAATTTTAACAGATTACATCTAGTGGCCTTTTTGGGTACCTCATATTATCATAGGTGTCTGTAATCATCTCTGGCCCTTTGTGTGGCCTTATCACTTGTAAAATATATCAAATAAGATACAAAAATAAATAAATAGAATGACAAAGCTGTAAAACATTATCCTAAATATACTTAGTGGATGCAATTGGTGTTTAATATGAGGGTTTCAGCATGACAATTTATTTTCTTATGTCATGTCTTTGTTGTAAATGTTTTGCCACCAAACTGGTTGGAGTTGTGAAATAAGTCAATAGTTGGAAGAGATGTACAGAATTAATAGAAAATAATGCCCTTGTTGATTAGGTGCTTTTTTTTTTATTTAGGCTATTTTCTCTTGAACCATATGGTCTATCCACTAGAAACGTATGGACAATATGGACACATATTTAAAAAAGGAATACTATAAATCAATACAAAACAATTAGTTATTCAAGTTTTAAATGACCAAAGTTGCCGTAGATTAGCCCTTATTTACAAACATTTCAGAAGA